CAAGGAATATCAACTATTTCGCACAATTTATTCTTTAACTTAAGCTACTTCATCTTGGACAAAATAAATCACCTCATGCAATGGCTTATCATTGTTTTTCAAGAATTTTGTTGGAAGCCAGTTCGGATCAAATGCAAGGTTATTGAAATTGACGCAAACACCCGAAAGATCGTTTTCACAACGTTTACACGAAGGCTTTTTAAACTATCCGGGATAGTCGTATTACTGATAAAAATATAGATTATTATTCAAATAAGTGGGTCTCGGTAATGTTTTGTTTTAAAAAGTTAAAAATATTTCTTTGGACGTCCCCGGAGCTCAGTGATAAGTCCCCCGGAGCAGATCAACCGCAAGTGATAATAAAAACGTTTTAGTGGATATAAATCATATATAAATACAAGCGACTGTTATTTTGTAAGTTCAGACGGCTTGATAACAAATTAGGCCTTCATTATTTGAAGATTAATACCATATGATTTCTCAATGTTTTTTTATTATATAATTTATTCGTTAAACATATCATGACATTAACATGAAAATGGAGAGCAAGTAAACTGGAACGATAACAATTTGAATTCTATACAATCTCTTAGATGAGTGAAGTGTATCTGAAAAACAAAATCATTTTTCGCAATGATTGATTTTCTTTTGAAAAGTGATGGGTAAATAAATACAGAACAAACGAAAGAATGAATAAATTTGAACAAATGCTTGTGTTTATAAATGATATACGCTTTTAAATAATTCATTTCACAATTTTTTAATTACTTAACACAATTGATATCGGGGACTTGCCAGCCCCGGGGACGTCCCAAAAAATGTTTTAAATTTTAGTTGAAATAAAACAAAACAGAGATGTACACATTTGAAAGAACATGTGTTTCATCAATATTACAACTATTCCAGATATTTATTCGTCAATGTTGTAAAAATCATTCGGAGTATGGGACGTCTGCATTGTTTTCAATAACTTTCAATAACTTCGTATTGGACCAGAACTGGCTTAACAAACAAAATACCTACAAAGGACTGATTTAGCCATTGCCAAAGATGGGTTATTTTGTCCGAGAAGAAGCAGCAATTAAGTTAATTGTGCGAAATTATTGTTATTTCTAAATGTAAAATCTCATGCTCCGGGGTCTTCCCTTAAATCTCACCCAGTGCCTAAGGTTGCCAAACGTTTTGAGGGAAGTGTAACTTCACTATGACATGTTTTAAACAAAATAAGGCTCTCGTGTTCACCATAACAAATATTAAATCATTTATATTTCTAGTTATATGCATTTTTCCGCAAAATGATATTTTGGGAAGTTCGAACCCACCGAACCCCCGCTGCCTACGGCTATGTATGGTACAATGCATTCATATTCCACACACATACACAGCAATCCATCGTGTCACTTCACTTACTACAGTTTGTGAATTCAATCACAGGCCCAAGAAGAATATCTAAATCCCCCCACTCATTGTATAATGTAAGAAAAAAGATATAAAGAGTCTCTGTTCATACATAACATAGTAAGTGGGGGATTTGAGTCTTCATCTTGGGCCTGTAAATTCAATCGTTTCTCGAACGCTTCGCCATAAGGTTAGCTACACACTTCCTGTGTGAGAAGATGTGTAGTCAAGTATTGGGAGGGGGTCACAGAGGCTTGTACCTAGACTACTTAATGTTCACGTGAAGCTAGTGAGTTATTCACTCGTGTTTAATTTGTGTAAGTGCTAGGGCTAATTCACTTATCGTATATTTGATATTGCATCATGACATTATTCTTCAGAGCGATTCCGCACCTGTAGTAGAATTTTGCATTATTCATCACGATTCTTCACCCGCTAGCACTTATATTCGTAGAAAGGGCCAAGATTCAAAATGAATTGCATCTCAGTTGCTGCGGCTCCCTGGGGTGTGGCTGTTAAATTTCCTGCGCGCAGTCTAGAAGCTCTCTTTTAAAAAGCGAAGTCGAATGAATGCAAAAGGTATAATAGTAGCCTAATGTTTACATGGATATCTTGGTTTGGAATAATTTCATGCTGACATTTTCACAAGTCTGAAACAACACCAAGAACAACGGAAACCGTGCATACTTTACCATTTGCGTTCGATTTCGCTTCTTAAAAGAGAGATTCGTCTTCTTGTTGACTCTATACGCAGGGAAAAGCATACATCGTGAATTGTGTTTCAACCATTTCTAGCGGTTCGATTGTATCGACCTCATTTCAAATAGTTTGCCTGCCGCAGGGCTTAAAAACGATTCGCACATATGCTAATTGGATTGCAAGAAATATAAACAATGCACACACTTGAAGAAATAAATGGGAACTTAACTTTCAAAAAGGATTAACATGTAAAATGTCACCATCTGCTATTTTTTACAGACGCCGAGCAGAATCGCCGAACACCGTCGACAAAAAAGTTGGAGACTATAAGAATATGTCAAATGAAAACCGGTGAATACAAGGTGATCACATGAATATATTTTTAAACGCACCCCTCAATATCTTTATAATAGCCCTATATGCAACCTATATGCTGATATGTAATAATATGTGTCACAGGATTCTAAAGATTTACACAGATAACACACCATTTATATCAAAGTATCACAGGCTAGTATTTACTAAAATACAATTTTTACAACACAGTATGATTCATGTCTAGAAATATGTTAACCTTTTAAATTCCAGGCCCGTAGCCAGGGGGGGGGGGGGGGGTGCAAGAGAACCCCTTGACCAAAATGTCCTTTCAAATCATGCAGTTTTTCACCATTCAGAGCGAATTTTTGAGTGATTTGGGGCAAATGGTCAAATTTGAACCTCCTGGAATTTTTTAAACAAATGAACCCCACTCCCTTGGCAAACCCTGGCTAAGGGCCTAAATACCTAGAATGATGTATATCTTAACCCTTCTGAAACCAAGAGTAATAGAAAATATGTAACAATAAAAATCACCAAATGTGATTAAAAACATGTTTGAGGCTTTTTTCACTCTCTATGTGCATAAATTATATGGGTCTCTGTTTTGAAAGTATACGAAACTATATTTTCTGCTTTAAAATAATTGTTGTATTTAGCATAATATGTTATATTTCTGCTAGAGGACCGCGAGTTGTTTGTAGAATGAATTGGTGGGAGTTTTTCTCATGCATTTCGCTTATGTTTTTCATCTTAAAAACAGGAATACACTTTTTGGACTTTTTATAAACGTTTTATTGATAAGATTATATCATTATGCAAAAAACTATTTCTCATTTCAATTATTATCCATGGATGAACTCCCAGGTATTGTTATTTTTCTTCAGAAGGCCGGAAATCATTGATAATCAATGCTTTTGAATAATATGAATGCTGTTTTAAATTGTTAATGCTGACACCTTCTTTAATCTCTAGAGCTTCCTCTTTGAGGAATTTCCCATATAAATCCAATGGTACAGTTCCAAGCAGATTTTGAGATAACAGGAAGGTATAAAATCTTAAATACACACCCTATTGTATTGCAATAAAACCAAAACAACACAATAAGGTGTGTAATAAAATGTACGTGTAAACCAAATTCTTTGAAAACATAAGGAGCAGTTATAGTTCCTAAAAATGAACTTACCAGCTTTACATGTAGCTAACATTTTCTTTACAACAACTAATTGACTAAATGTAGAAGTCAGTGCAAAGTGTAACGACAAAGAACCTCAACATTTATTGATGCATCTCAGTGGTGGATCCAGGAATTAACAAGTGGGGACTTTTGAGTCAGGGAAAACATTTGGGCCCCCAAAACCAAAAATTGGGCCAACATATTTCAAAATTAAGGCCCATTTTTGATAAATTGGCCAAGATTGGCCAAAATTTGAGCCCCCCAGCCACAGGCCTGAGTATTCACATACTACTTATCAAAATATTGGAGAGTTTAAGCTGGCAATGTTTTTCAAAACGTAACCGCGAGCGCGCATGCAAAACAAGCGCTAATTAGCCTACTTCAGATACCCGATCAACTTCAGGGCTGTGTATAGAACGGGAGATTTGCAAATTCACGTTGGTGGCAATGGGAAAAATCATACTCATGTATTTTGAATACTATGCTGGCAGTTTTGATTTCGATGCTTAGTATAATGCTTTCCAAATATCTTACGAAACGAGCATGTTTGAAATATGTATCATAGAAAACCAGCTGTACAACTATATCAATGGCATAGCACACGATGATGTGTAAGTAACGATCTAAGTTAACATTGTTACCGAACGAGTGTTATCTTTGTCAGAAAACTACATGCATTTGTATAGGGCAACTTATACGTACAGGTTTCCATTTCGATTTTATATGCATTGTTTAAAATCTCCATTATCATTAAACTACACATATCCCATCTTTATCTAGTACAAATACTCTGGATTTTTGTATTGTATTTTGTTTACCACCAATGAAGGTGAGCAATACCTCTTGGGTATGTCCCGTATATATACGGTCGTAATTTACGTAATTAACATGGAAAATAGACCCAGAAACCCCTCCTTGAAGGAGCCCTGTGTTCTTTTATGTGCACTTATACATAGACATGCAAGTACACACAACAGCCTTTTGTACGAGCTGCGGACCACTCAGTCAAACACCCTGAAGTACTTCACGCAAACAAGCAAATTTAGTCTTGCATGAACCGGGGATCGAATCCGGGACCTATTGCGTAAGAGGTACCTGCACTACCGCTGAGCTACACGGGTGGACTATCTGAAATGACTGAGGTAGTATTTACTTGCGCCAATATTTTGACTACAGGGTGTCAAGAAACAGAGGAACCCCACTGTACAGCAAAAATTACTAAATGATACATTGTGTGTCATGTTAATTATCGTCTCAACAAGAATTCAATTCTATCATTAACTAGAACAAGGGCATATCCAGGCATGAGTAAATGCATCCCCACAATTTTACAGAAAAATATTAATGCAGATATTTTTTCAAATTAACCCATGAGAACGATAACAGGAGTACATGTACATGTATATTGCTTTTAACTCAATCTACAGAATGTATGCCTCACCTGCCTTGATAAATACACGGACAATACATGAATAATAACTAGATCTGACACGACATGTATGACAGTGACAGCGCTCGAGAATCATTGAGCATTGATACATTGTACATTATACAGCAGTTTTTTGGTGTAGAGGTCTTCCATTATTTTTGACACCCTGTAATACCCTATTCTCACTATACTGTATAAAATACATTTTAAAATTCCAAAAAATGTAATTTCAAATGTCTCTCATTGTTGAGGCATTTGGATGCTTTCTTACAACATGTATTAACTGCACCTAATCTGACTACAAAAACTATATAACAGCAACGCCAAGGCGAAGCAAATCCCATCAAACAGCCATAGCTGCCATTTTCACAATTTTTTTTAAGTGGCATATATGTACATATAAAACATAAACAACATGGGGCAAACATTTTTTGAGTTATTGCCTGGACAGAGGGATGTATAGAAAATTGTTCTCTATATCCCCGCAAACTTTGTTCCATGGGATAAATAACTTTTCACTTGAATCGTTCAGGTGTTTCAATTGTACATGTATTACTGCAAATATTCTAATGACAATGGTTGAGGTATGTGGTTGCTCAAATACTGGAGACATCACTGATCGGATGGATGAGTTTGATGTTGTTTTGCACAGTGTATTAAATACGATCGGTTTGAAGCATAGGCTTTGTTACAATGTAAACATTTGAATGGTTTTTCACCAGTGTGAATTCGTTCATGTGTTTTTAAGTTACTAGCCTGCGAAAAGCTTTTACCACATGTTGAACATTTAAACGTTTTCACACCAGTGTGGGAAATTCCATGGCGAATTAAGTGGCTATGCCTCGAGAAGTTTTTATCACATATAGAGCATTTAAAGGGTTTTTCTCCAGTGTGAGTCTTTTCATGACTTCTCAAGTTGCTTGATTGTTTAAAGCTTTTTTCACACATTGAACACTTGAATGGTTTATCATTAGTGTGTGTTCGTTCGTGACTCCTCAAATTACACGTCAATGCAAAACGTTTTCCACATGTAGAACATTCGAATGGCTTCTCTCCAGTATGTGTACGTTCGTGAATTTTCAAATTACAAAAATATGCAAAGCTTTTTCCACAAAACAAACACTTGAATAAGCGTAGATTTTCGCCACATTGTAAGCTATTACTTTGATTTGATCTCGCATCAAAAACAGATTTACTGCATTTCGCATAACAGAAATCACAAATAGGATCATTCAATGCACGAGCACATAAAAACCTTTTGTCACATATAGAACAAGTGTATGCTATTACTCTTTCACTGTCAGATTCTGTTTTAACAGCCTCTCCCATTTCATTATTGACATCCATTTCTGATTCATCAAAAACATCTTCAGTGGTGTCATAACCATATTCAGATGATTCATAATCAAAGCTGACATCAATCCCAGGTTCTGATTTGACAAATATTTCTGGTTCATTATCAAAATCAATTTCCGGTCTATTATTGACATCCACGTCAGGATAAGTACTGTATTTCTTAATCACATTTTCAGTTTTAATTAGATTTTCAAGTTCACTATTGCCATCCATTTTGGGTTGTGTTTTGTCAGGTTCATTCTTGAAATTGATTTCATCTTCACAGCTGACATCCACTCTGGGTTCAATTTTGGCATATATATAGGGTTTATTAGTGACATCTATTTCAATATGGACATCTATGTCAGGTTCACTATTGCCATCAATTTTAGATTCACTATTGCCATCAATTTCAGTTTCACTATTGCCATCAATTTCAGGTTCACTATTGCCATCAATTTCACGTTCACTATTGCCATCAATTTCAGGTTCACTATTGCCATCAATTTCAGGTTCACTACTGCCATCAATTTCAGGTTCACTATCGCCATCAATTTCACGTTCACTATCGCAATCAATTTCAGGTTCACTATTGCCATCAATTTCAGATTCACTATTGACATACATCCTGGTATCCATCTTGGTATCCATTTTGGGTGACATTTATTTCACTATGGACATCTATTCAAAATTGTCATCAGTTCAGGTTCAATTTTGACATCATTTCAGGTTCACTTTTGACATCAAGTTCAGGTTCACTTTTGCCATCATGTTCAGGTCCATCAATTCACTATTTAACATGCTACCAACTAACATCAGATTTTGTGCTTTTCCTCAATACATAAATCTGCAAAACAAATTAAAGGACATTTAGCATGATTTCCACATTATTCTGATAGAAAGACTAATTACTAAATGAGCCTACTCCTTGTTTACTGTTTGGACTTGTCCCCATCCTATGAAAAGAGTACTTAAAATAACCAGAATGGAGCTCCGTAAAATAAAAAGGAGTCAAGTACAATGGAATGGCAGCTGACAGTTGATAGACAGAGGGATTTTATTCCACTATTTCATTCCTATTTAAATGAGTCGGCCACAAAATGTAAGTTAAACCATCAGCTTGCATTTGAATTCTCGAATGTCACCTTAGTTATACAAAGAGGAACTCACTTTGTCACTGTGTACTGGAGTTGATGTAGGGAAGCACTTTTTTCCTGCCATATTACTAGTATACAAGTCACATATGTAAGTAGAGTCTGGAATTGAACAACATAAAACCTTGAAATTGAATACAAAATATCATTGAAAAAGTGGAACACCTCCTCCATAGGGATGTTGGAACACATACCAAGTCAAGTCAGGGTTTGTAGAAAATACCGGGTACCGGGTAGTAAATCCTTCATGCTGGGTTCAAACTTGGTACCCGGTTGAAAAACCAGGTACCCAAAAAACAAAAAATAGGAATATATAACATATATCATTAGAAAGCGTGTAAGATTTGTTTTGAATTTACAAAAATGTATGTAACTTCCTCCCAAATTTCTACAAACCCAGTCAAGTCATATTACTCAATAAATATAAAAAACCTCTCCAAGGTTGAACATTATTTAGAGGTACATTGTGTTAAGTTAGGGCAGGTAGGGCAGGCAGTTGTGGGAAGTCCTACTATTAGCTGATTATATTCACCAGGTTAGGAAGGTTCCCCTTTCCCCTTTCATATCTGCATGGCTATTTCAAATCGCGAAATAAGGTGCCCCACCTCTATAGCTCTAGAAACCGAATTTTACGATGGTCTTACATGTACAGTATTATCTGGCCAGAATAACAAGATTGAGGTATGAATTATTTTTTTCTATATCATTTTTGGTGTTATCTCTGGCCGAATTTTTTGTTGTGTTATAAGACTTATCCAATTCCAGGACTTATAGTCCAGTGCTCCATTGCAGAGCCCAGATGTACCAATAGATGGAGGAATTTACCGATTAAAAACTACAATTTCCTTGTTCTCAATTAACCCATCCGATTGGGGATTCAACCTAAACATAAATAACTGATTAATATTAAATTCTTTTTTAAATGCAGTTGAATCTCCAATCATATGGGTTAATCGGCAGAATGATAAAATATTTGTTTTAATAGCCTATCGGTTCGTTACATTTGGGCTATGCGAATTAAGGGGGTTCCACATTCGACATCTTGAAGTAAAATGAAAATCTCCTGGTCCACCGATAAACCCATACAACTGGGGATAGGCCAGGTAGGTACAGTGTAGGCCATTTAAAGGTTCAACAATACTCCGATACGTGATAACGTTTAGTTTAGTTCAGTTTAGTTTCCTCCTGTTTGAAGAGCTCTCATGTATAGTATAACTTTGTCTACATCCGGGTTCTTTCCCATTGGATTACACAGGGGTGCTATTTTCAATGCCGCACTGCGACTCTATTAAACATTTATGTAGAGTTGCATTTTCACAAAATATAATGTACGAAAGAAATGCGTTCATTTTTTTCGACGTTCGTTTTTTGCTGTATCGGTGATCGCTCTTTCAAGTTTTTCTAAAGAAATATTTTTGCCTGACAATAATCAGGTACATGTAAAATGCGTATTTGCGTGACATATTCTGTCATTATCTCTACGTTCCAAATTCTGTCACGCAAAAAAAACTGGCATGACTTCAAATTTTCCAGCAAATAAGCAAATTGTCCATCGCTCTTAGATATCTAGTCTAAAATCAAGACAAAAATCATTAGCTTTCAAGAGGAAAGTCCATTCAAAAATCAAAATGATAAAAAATCAGACATTCTGAAAAAGGTGTCAATCAGTAGAATTTACTACGAATGCCTTCTGTAGATAAACATCTAAATATTAATATATTTTAGTTAAAATGTAATGGCTTTTCCAAGTACAAGTATAATTGTGGGAAATGTGAGTTAGTTCTGAAGAACAAAAATATATTTCCGTTTACTTACTTCCGGTATTAGGGACCGCTCAATCTGCGCAGGATTGAACGCACTGAACGAAATTGCTTTCGAGAATAAGCTAATGGATATTTACCCGAGGCCCAGGAATACGTTAAAAAGTCCCCTAGACCCCTAGTGTACTGAGTTGATAATGTGTGGTGTTTTGCTAGATTATTTTCTTCATCCTAGCTAAGACTTAGTCTGTAAGGTGGTTTAATTTGTAGTTGAGAATTGCGCCCCGGGAATTGCATGTTCCACACTTACCTTCTTCTTAGGCCACTGTCTAGACTCGAGTAATTCCACACTATTATGATAGACGCCTGTCTAATTTTAATTCGTAGTGCATATTGCAAATATTCCGCACTTGGTGGAAAAAGTCTTAAGAATTAGACTCCAGTTTTGAAATTTTGGGCACTAATTGCTCATTTGTCATGTTAGCCCAAAATGTAGCGTAAAATTAGACGGGTGAGAATCTGTCACAAATCTTCCAAAGTCTAGCTTCCCATCAATCCCATTTATTAATGCTTATATTACTCTGTCCCATGACTTCAAATATGGCTGAAATTAATATTCTCAAGTTTCAAGTTTGAAGTTGTTTTGGTTAAGTTTATTCTGTCCTCGTTGAAGCATGGATTTAATTCAGTCTCATTTTACTCCATCGATCTATATGACCATTTTATGTTAGTCTCAGGATCATAGGGCTCAGGTCGATAGAAATAATTTTAAAATAAAGATGGCATGGTAATCTATCTGTGTTTATTTAAAAAGATAATACTGGATTCTGTTGGTGCTGTCATCTTTATATCGGCCTAAAACCTATGCTGAGGATCTATGCATTTCAATACAAATAAATGTTCCTATTACTTTTTGCTCCGCCTTGCAATACATTACATGCCTAACAATTTTGATATAGTCACAGTGAGTCAATTCAAAGTATGCAGTTTGATTTGACGTTTGGATTCCAAATCCCCGCTCAAATCACGATCTATACTTTCATGGGGAGGAACAAAGGTAGGGCTTGCCCATAACTGCATACTGACCATACATGTAGGCTAAGGTCGATAGATATAATTTTAAAAATCTTTTATAAAAATGGCATGGGTAATCGATGTGGATATATCGGACCAAAACCTATGACATACATTTTGTGGATTACGACCAGTGCATCTGGATTAAAAACTCGTAAAGACCATGTGTATAGGGGGCATCACAGTTCAACAACAATGATAATGATTCACAGGCAGGGTATTTCACTTGCTGGGTATCTATAACATTTAGATTAGGTCAGTCAACAACTACTGTTCCTTAGCTATATAACAATTCTTAACAAAGTGAGTGGAGCGTAGGAAATTATTTTATGAGGTCATCATCAAATATGATCGGGAAAATGGGACGGAGGAAGATTTATTTTTAAAGAGAAAGTTTACTATTGAATTGCTTTAATGAATAGGCCAGGCCTCCTAGACAACGCTCGCTCGTGCAGATATCATATCCATTCGTGGAAAAAAATCATATCATTCATAAATCATAGGATATCCTCTATTTATTGTTTTGTGTGGCCAATTCTTGTTTTTTGTTCCTTTCTACCCATTCTTGAAAATGAAATAAAATATTTTCCCGACCTTATAAGCTTGTTGGAACAAAAAAGCATATACAAAATTTTCTTGGACCTCTCAATATTATAGTTATACAAAGGAAAGTTTGGTTCATTTAACAAAAACTATTCAAGAAATTAGTCACTGGAGTGATTTTGATGAAACTCTACAAATTCACCACACATTGAATTACGATAATTTGTGCCAAGTCTGAAGTGCCAAAACACCATGGTTAGAAAGTTATTTGGTTTTATTGCTGTGGCAGTCACCTCTGACTGCATTTTCATATTTTCCTAGTACAACTGTCTTTGGAGCAAGTGTCCAAGGCATCCCGTTTTACAACTAACTGACAACAGGAGCTATACATACACAGTCTCTTCTTTGTTTTCCTGAAAAAAATAAACATAATTGAATTTGTATTTTCCAAGATATAGTTATTTTCCATTCACGTTTTTCGTATTTTGCTGGTACAACTGTCTTTTGAGCTAGTGTCCAAGACATCATGTTTTACAACTAACTAACAACATGGGCTATACATACACAGTCTCTTCTTACTTTCCTGGAAATATGAACATAATTGGATTAGTATTTTCCACGATATCGCGATTTCTTTGGGTTGCGTTTTTTTTGAACACCTGTAGTTACACTTGTGAATTTTGTCAAGAAGCATAAACATGTGAGCTGTAAGAGGGAAAACCAGCATTGAAGTTAAGATTTTATTTCTATAATCTTTAATGATGCATCTCATTTGAATATGTTGTATAAGCATATGATATGAATTAAGAGTTTTTATTCTAGTATTTTTTTCTTTGTTATTTGATACAGTACACATGCAGGTATATGATATGTTGTCTTAAGGCATCCATACATTCCATTATACTTATATACAACATTATTTTCAAATCTGTGCAAATTTAAATAAAAATATAAATAAAAAATATGTAGTCTAAATGCAAAACATACACTGATATATTGATATGACAAGTGATCTTGCTAATATAACAATTTTTTTTAAATGCTGTTATTGTTTGGCCCTGTGTTATATAGCGTGTATTAATGAAAATAAAATGTGAAAGCGAGAAAATAAGTTAAGTAGAATTTTCTATAACATAGAATTCGAAGTATAACATTTAAGCATAGAGAACAAATATATGGAAAATGCAATTGAATATCCATGGCTTACAGGTATATACAAATAAAGCCAATTTATGCAAGTAAATATAAAGAAATATACGTTCTTGTGTGTAACAAATACTGAAGCAAAGTACAATTCACTATACAATCATGGTATATCATTTTGAGGCAATTCATTATTGCTTTGTTCTCTTATTCACATGAGTATAAATCACTGTACAGTCTGGCTCAAATATCTGTCACACTTAACATAAAACAGGTACACAAATTATGTAAAGTATTCAGAGAAGGCAGAAATGTTGCAAACTTTTTTTGTGGCCCGAACCAACCTGAAAAATATCTGACCTGTGACAACTATAATATTAAGATATTTTTCAAGTCTGTAGTTGTATCAAGATCTGATGGGTAGGTTAGTAATTTTTGCTCAGCATAGAACAAATGTACATATCACATGATATGTGATTATTAACTGTTTAAGACATTGAACACATACCTTTTGTATCCATTTGTATAAAGGATGATATTATTTGTTCAACAGTTATCACAAACATCATGCTAATGGGCATT